TCGGGGAATGGGAGGGTGCACTGCGGGACAGAGCGAGAGTGAGAGCAGAGGTTAGTGCTCGGTCATTGATATGGGTGTGTTCTCAACATTCACTGCCCAGTCAATGACTGCTTCGCTCTTCAGTGTCTTGGCTTTCTATTTTTCTCCAATTATCGCCATTTACCATCAAATTATCAATCTGTGGCATTCACTTTCTTCTTCTTTTTCTCTCTTTCACCTGACCTCTGCTCTTTTTTTTCATATCTAGTTCATACGAGACCCTTTGTGATAATTTACTGTATTTTTCGGTTTCCATTCTTACAATAATTTGTCTACACTATGTCCGTATTCCTGTTTGGCTGCCATGTTACATGTATATATCCATGGACGTGATACTTTGTTTGATGACTTCTCCCGTGTTATATTAACCAATTTGTTAAAGATTATATATGGGAAAGCCATTTTACACGTTTTATCGTCCTACTCTATCAAATCGTCAATTGTTCTCTCTATATGTACATGTGTATTCTCTCCTATTGTACATTATGTTGTGTAAGTGACAATACCCCATATAGTATATGTACGTATATAGGTATACAGGCGTTAATATATACTGTAGTTCAGAGGGACATATATATCTCTAGAGCTAACTAGATCATATTGTTAAGAACAAAGGCTATATAAGGCTATTCTTGCATACACATAGAAAATACTTCCTACTATTTGCTATATAGCTGTATTCTATTGGAGAGTTAAATATGTCAACATAGTGGACATCTGCGGCATTATAAGATCTATGTACTCCGTATGGTATAAGTAATAATAAGTAATAAAACATAGTTAAACTGTTAGCCTCTTTCTAATGTTTCCAATGTTTCTAGGCCCTAAATTAGTTAAATTAGTTAATTTAACTAGTATAACTAACTAGTTATAGTTAGTTAGCCTAACCCTGGAGGTAGAAAGTGCTCCGACCGCCAGTCTAGCTGTAACACTTAGAGTCTTCTTTTCTGATTTGATTTCTCTTTCTTGTCTATTCTACTATTCTACTGTTTTACTATTTTACTATTTTACTATTCTACTATTCTACTATTCTACTATTTTGTTTATTTGATCCATTTGAACTATTTGATTTACTTGGTCTACTTGGTCTACCTGGTCTACCTGGTCTATCTTTATCATTCAGTTTCTACTTAATCCAAGGTTCCCCCGTCTTGACCCACGTGAAGTCCACGGGTGTCTTGAAAATCGATAAGCTCAAAAAAAAAAAAAAAAAACAAGTGTGTTTCTTCC